CCCCCGCACCCGCGCGGGGCCGCGGGGGCGCGCCAGCCGCTCCCTGCGCCGGGCCCCTTCCCCTCGCGCAGCCTGGGCCGGGCCTCTTTCTTCCCCACCCACCGCCTTTTATTTTTTTAAAACCACCTCAGTCGTTTCTCGAAGCTGCTGGCTCCTCCTCCCCCGTTGGGTGCTAACACGCGACATGGGGGCGGCAGGGCCTGGCCTCGCCGCCGCCGCTCGGGGCCGCTCCCCGGCTCGCTCAGCTCACACGGAGCTGGCGCCTTCACGAAGCGCCCGCGCGGGAGCTGCTGCCGGGCCGCCAGGTGCCACCACCACCCGCAAGGGGCAGGGGCGAGAGGGGAAAGGAGCACAAGGGAGAAAGGATGAGCAAAAAGGCAAGGACAGGGAAGAAAGCGCAAGGTTCGAGCTGAGATAAAGTCCATGAGGACAAGGGAGGCCTGGTGCTGAGACAAGTGCCAGCACCAGTGCTCCATCTCACTGGCCCAGATGGAAAGGAGGAGACACGCGAAGCCCACCTTGAGTACAGGTACTATAAGGAGGCCAGCTCGCTGCTAAAGCTGCCTCTGATTTCAAAAATGTGAAAATAAACAGGTTCTGAAAGGACTTACCTTCTGTGTTCAAGCAGCAGGGTAAGAGCACGAGTGATGTTTTTGTCACTGAGCGCCTCCATGGTGGGCTGCTCAGATCTTTCCCCTCCAATAAAGGCAGCCAGTCCTGAACATTTTTTTGATCTAAGACCGAAAAACTGAATGAACAGGGAACCAGTTCCTGCCCCTCATACTGGGCCTGCAGTTAGTGCTTCGGGTGTTCATCTGCTGTTTCAGGTCTGGAAAAGCTGTTCATTCTGATCTCTGGGGTTTATCAGGACAAAAAATCATAAAATAACTCTTCTCAAGCTAAACCAGAAACAGCTCAAATAACTGTGCTCACAGGTTTTTGAAGTTAAACTTTCAGATAAAATTTTGCCCTAATTAAAGAAATTGAAGAGATTCTACACAATCATACTTAACTGCATGTTGTGCCAAATTTCCCCTTAAATGTACATCCCTTTTGGCAGCTAGGGTAACATGTAAAGTCTTCATCAAGAACAATCACCCTATTGTATAACCCACACGTCTTCAGCATACAGCTAAGTATGTGCCTGCCTTACATGCACTCGCCATGTAAAAGAAAAACCTTGCACCACAACTTAAGTGATTCACTTGCATATCTTTTAGAATTTACAAAACATTGGTTCATCAAAAACAGAGCACCTTACATGCTACTGATATAAATTTTGCTGTTGAAATGTGGGGCTTTTTTTGCATTTCTTAAAATTAATTCTGCAGACTTAAAATTAGAAAAAGCTCTCTAGAAGTATGAATGACCTTTGCTGCAATTTGCTGATGTTCCAACATGCCTAATTAGTTTTGCAGTCTGCAGGGGAACAAAATTTAACTCGATATAGAATTCAGGAAAAATAAAGATGCCATTTTTAAAAGTATTTTTTTTGAGAGAGAGACTTGCTGTATTTTCACTGAATTTTCAAGTAATTTTCAAGTAATGACCTTAGCATTATTCCACTCCTATTCATCCCAAGAGAGAGGTGCATTGTCACCATAGAGATTAAAGAGCTTCTTTAATGTTCAGCACTGATCACAATTTGTTGCTGTTGTTGCTTAGCAAAGGCCAGCACCTCTAGTAGGAGCATGTCCATAAGCTGTTTGGTCCCTGAGCTCAAACTTTCAATTAGAAATGCCTTTATTATTAGCTTAGAAAAATAGGAAGAGGTGACTAGAACTGTAAAATCCAGCTGTAACCCATAGAGTCACCGGAAATGATCCCCTCTCTTACCTACCAGAATGAATGTATGCATTTCAAATTCTATACCTGAAATGTGAGTCATTCTCTATTTTAACAAAGGCAGTGCAAAAGTCAGGTACTGAGACCTAACAGTACTGATGCATATGAATACACATTCAGGCAGTGCTAGACACTGAGGCACAAATGCGTAGCTGTAGTATATCGAGAAGGCAGCACTAAATATATCACACATTCAGGCAGTGCTAGACACTACTCTGAGGCACAAATGCGTAGCTGTAATATATCGAGAAGGCAGCACTAAATATATCTGAGGTCACAGCAGCAGCTACAAGAACTTAAGGATACTCACGTACACACTTAAATGGTACTGGCCATGGTATTAGATCTTTTCCCCATTGCTATCCTATGCTACATTTTTGAAAATGTTAGCTGGCATAGTGTTAATTGTGCTGATTGATGCAGACACCACTCTGGACAGAAAGTGTTTTATAAAAATTGACCGCAGCTTCACTTGTTACCATATCAAGCATTCTCATCTTTTAACTGCACATCCCTTTCACTTACAGTTCAGAATAGTTCAGAAACTAGTTGTTCCAGATACAGCTTTTTAACTGTCAAAATGTAAACTCAGGCAGATACAATGTCATTTCTGACAGCCCACAAAACACTCTCAGAATTCATATTATCTTTAGCTTATGTGGACCTGTCAGCAAGCACCACTGAGCATTTCTATCCTCATCATTAGGAACTTCATTCATCTACATCCCCCAACCTCAAAGGTCATTTTTTCCCATCACAATCATCAAATTTTTCCTTGTCCCATTTACCAGTCATAGTAAAGCCCTGTGAGGTAGGCCAACGTTTACAAGACCGCACTAGGTTATCAGTTAAGGATAGTGTTCTGTTGAGAAATTTTTTACTTGTGCCCGAGATGTTAGTATACCCAGGGAATTAAAACAAATGGTGGGAAAAACAAAACAAAAATCACATATGGTATGTTAATATGCTTTGCAATAAGTTGACACTTTGTAATAAGTGACTTGTATATACACTGTAAATCTGATATTCGTTTTGCCTTCGATGTGCATATGCCACAGTACCAGAGATTTGAGACCCCTTTTCCTTATATGCCCAAACTTCATAATTTTTCAGTCGAAGACCTTATCAGAATTACACAAAGAAAAGGTAAATCTGAAGTTAAGTTACACAGGAATTATCATTCAAAATTTTACCAAAGACAGTCAAAGAGCAAGATGAGAACATTTCAGAATTTACAGAACTATAGTTACTAAAAAAGTAATAATCCAGTATTTTCAGATGACAGTATTAAGCTTTTTGATAGATTATCCTTAATTAGCTAGATTATCCTTAATCTTGGAACTCCAGAATCAAAAAAAAAAAGGCAATGAAAACAAGCTCATCACACCAGAAGTGTGACACTCCATTAGCAGCATTATACTCCCTTAGTAGTATTATGAACTGAAACAACTGTGCTGTGTGGCTCAGCTTGCTATCTTAGCACTACTTAATCTTCATACGCAGGTTAAACTAAAAGCAGTTACCTGTAGCACAGGGCCATGGGAGAGTTGGGCAGTCGTGTGATGGAGGAAAAGCAAGCAGAGGCAGCAAGATCACAGTGCTCCTGCATCCAGACCAGCTCATGGCCCTGTGTTTCTATTTCAAGCCCCCCACAAAAGCCTGGATAGTGGTTAACCTCCACAGCATTTTCAATCCACTGCCACCCAGGGATAATTATCATAACAAGCCATTAAAATGATCATGAATTAGCACAATTCTTTAAACACTGCATCCAACCTTGCTTTGCAACCCTTAATACATTCCTTCCAACACTACTGTGTCCATCTCTGGTATGCTAGCTTTATGCCATTCTCTTTGCACCATCTTGAAAATTCTTAGAAAACACTCTATTAACTCCCTCTTCTTAACCAGGTCAGTAATTTTCAAGGTCTACGCATCCCCTGAGATCCTAGACTACTTACAAAACAAAATGCCATTTTGTCATGCTATTTTACTTTTTCGTGTTTGATTACGTTTACCACAGACTGTATCACCCAAGTGATACATGATGGTTTAAGTTATTTATGTATACACAGTAGTTAAGAAGCCTGGTTCCCAAAGGAACCCTTGACATGCACATGTACTTCTTTTTCCAGACTTAACTGTTTTTAAATAATTTGCAATAATACCATGACTTCTTGAGGACTTATTGAAATAAATAGTAATTAAGAAGTCCTAAACTTAGTAGGGTGGATGATTAACAGCTAGAAAGACAAAACACACAGGAGGTCTACTTTAATTTCCTTGGGAATCCTGGATAGTCTTGGAGAGACTCGATCTCTTGAAACCCAAATATCCACTGGCTTGGAACATCCGGAACTGGCTGTGAGCCTTACACAGGTGCTACGCAACACAGTCATATCCAGCGCAACGGATAACTATTAATACACTGCAGCAGTATTTTCCGAGTGATCCCCAAAAGACAAGATCAGTTTCTATTAACAACAAAGACAATGTTTTATTGAACAAATCTATGTACAGTACAAAAGGTTTTCAAAATGAAACACTACTGTTGATTTATTGCAGTTTGATGGCTCAGTTTTAATTTGTACTCTTATATAAAATGCAAAGTAAAATAATTTAACATTCAACAAGGAAGCACAAATTTCCTTTCTTGCTGAACCTGTAACAGCTTTTACAAAATTAACAGAGTCCCAAAATGCATACGCTGCATTTAACCAGAAAGGTGTTATACAGTACCAAATAAATTAAGAAAAAACAACACTACCACCCTGTTGAGTCTTTCATCCATACCACTGGTGTTAAACAACAAAAGAAATGAGTACAGCTGAACCTTCAATGTGATATTAAAATCACAAAGTTTAATGTTATAAATTATCCAAACTATACAATTTATGTTTTAATGAGTATGGCTAAAAAACCAAAGTACCAGTGACCTTTCCCCACAGATAAGACCATTTTCAACCTACTTCTGATTTTTCTTTTTTCCCTCTCTCTCTCCATTAAAGGTGCCTACCAAGCGGCAACTCTTTGAAAATTTTAACTTACATGACCTTTACACTGAACCATAATCAGGTTAGAGTAGACAATCTTAAAAGCAAATCTAGATCCAAGTTAAATCCCACCTGGAAGAAATATGATTAAAATATGATTATCAGAATGAAATGCACAAACTTTGATCCAACAAAGCTCCTAAGTTCATATGTAACCTTAGGCAACTTTACCAAAACTGCATGCTTGCAATACATATGCATTTCGGTATTCATTGAATCAAAGTTATGTATCCTGATGAAGTCTTTCCAATTGCACCACACAGTGCTTAGTGCCTGGAAAAAAAACTTTCAATTCTGGATTTGGAACCTTTTTCAGCCCTAAAAGCTGCAGACTCAGTATAGGATGATATCCTACATACTACAGAATCCTAAAAAAGGAATGTAGAATAGTCCCACACATCAGAAGCATCCTTTTCCTCCTAATGCAAGCTGCTTAGTACTGCAACTAACTGAGTGTAGCAACGGGTATTGAGAACTAAGTCTTCTGTCCTTCTGACTTAAGTCATTACTTAAAATAAAAATGTAATCACCCACCTCCTACTTCAAGGAAATTGAGCATATTTCTGGTATCCTTTAGGTGATAGCTAATGTTCACCTACATAAGAATTGAGGGCTTTTTTCAGTTCTCCAGCGAATATATATGGAACAGGTGGTATAAACAAATGGTGGTGTCCAAAAGCATCTTTGAACAAAAGTGAGTTTAATGCAGGTACAAAAAATTATGGTCACAGTTTATGCATGTACATAGATGCATTTATCTACACACTTTAAATCAAATACAAGTTTCAGTCAAGTTTTAAAGCATCTTCAAACACACGGAGCTCCAGGAAAAGGCAAGAAAGCACCAAAGATTAAAAGTACACTTAAAAGATTTTACACAAACATTTTTGTCATATCTGCTGACCAAGGTTTTAGATTTTTAAAAACGCAATACTTTGAAATTAACCCTTTTTTTTCCAAATGTTTTTAAGCAAATTTAATTAGATTAACAATGTTAAGCAAAGAAAGGGGAGCCTAGGGCAGTGAAAATGGTAATTGGGTTCTCAAAAATCAAGTTGATAAAAGCAAAAAAAAAATCTAAAGTGAAAGTGCATTTGGCAAAGGTCCCCTTTAATTTCATATTAAAGCAACTTTTAATGTACTTATATATGTAAATATATATGTGTATATATGTATATATATGAATGATGCATTTAAATCCGCTTTTTGCAACTGCAAAAAAAATTCTTTGGTGCCTCAAATCACAGAATCCTTAAGGTTGGACGGGACCTCCAGGGATCACCTAGTCCAACCCCTGCACACGCAGGGTCACCCAGAGCACGTGGCACAGGGCTGCATCCAGGCGGCCCTTGGAGATCTCCAGGTCACACAGATCTTTCAAAGGGGGTCAGTCATTGATATTAATGTAATGCACACATACCTGTGATCATAATTTTATAACCTTTTACTTTAAGCCAACTCAAAGTTAAGGCATTTTGTTTTCAGAATTCGAAAAAGTTCCATTTTGAAAGTGTGTTCTTTCTACCTCCTAGGAGGGGAAAAGGAAGCAGAATTAATGCAGATATCTGTTTGCTTTCACAGAGGGTTATTAGCAGAGGCATTACTGAACTACTATGTTTAAGTTCTAGAAATACTTAACAGCCTGTTTTACAATGAAATCCTCAGGTTTGCAAGTGTGAGTCAGTGCTAGAAAGAATAGATCTTTTATGTACCTCTTGATTTTACTTTTTTAGCATTATCTGTTAATTTAAGCAAGTTCTTAAAGACAACCCTACTATATCATGCACGCAACGTCATAAGCTATTAGTAGGCAGGAACAGTTGGTATTTGCTGTCCTAGATTTCTGTGATGACTCCATCTGTAAGCATTGTTTTTCACAATTATACCTTCTGCACCTATGACCACATTGACGTTTTCAGCTAAAGGTGTAGAGCAGGCCCCAAATTAAACATTTTTAAGCTGCACAGACAATACAACATAGTTATTAGAGGGTAAATTAGCACAGCAAATAGACAATCTGTATACTTGCCACGCTTCTATCTAGGGTCAGAAGACCAAAAACTGAAACAGCTTCTTGATGTCCTGTATTTTAATGTGATATACAGAAGGACTGTAATTTCTTATCTTCCCAAACTCTTTCTATTCCTTCTTATCAACAGCCAACTTCTGAATAAAATCCTTAGCACCTAAGTCCAACACCTTCAGCAGGTCCTGGGAGGGACTACCTTTTCAGGAGATACTACATAGGGTTGTAATATTTCTTAAGGTTGAACTGTGGCATGTTTTCTCCCTTCCTTTATAGGGAAGATAATTACTTACAGCACTGAGTTGTGATCCCCCACCACTAAGCAGTATCACATCAGTAAAACAGCCTGTCCTTCCAAGCTGGCATTTCTGATTCAACATGTGCACTGGTTTTGTCTGCCTTCATTAAAATTCTCACCCCTACACTTCTCCCCAAAGCTGTTTTTCAAGCTCTATTTGGTCATATAAACAGCTGAAAGATCTCCCTCTATTTCACCATATTAGCTCAACTCTGCCCTGCAAGTTTGCCCCTCTTCATGATATGCATTTGCTTCAGTCTGCTTCTGTTAATATCCACACTACTTGTGCAATGTACTTGCATTAGTCTTGTGGCACGTGAAACAGATGTTTTACATGAAACTTTGCAACAGTCTTAATATGCGTTTTTACCATAGTTTTGAAAAAGACTTTTCTTGTATGCATCCAATTTCTACTGTGCATAGCTTACGATATCTTACCAACACACTTTGTCTTGCATAATTTGTAGATTTTGGCTATTAAAGCTGCATTCTCTCTTTCTTAGATGTCTCTCCACATTCCCCCTCCTGAACTCTCAATAAAAAATTATTGAATGAGTGCCATCCTTTTTTAGCAGGAAATGGAATCACATAGTGAAATTCTGAAAAAAGACTGCCTGGTTCCTCCATCCATGTCTCACATCATAATTACCGTGATGATTTAAGTAACTAACCACAAACGAAAACTGTTTTCTCATTAGAGCAGCTTAAGGTATTAGCTGTTTTCTTTCTCTAAGGCAATTACCATGTCTGCTCTGTCTGCTCAACTGAATGCATTATTTTCTTTAAACTTTCATGTTAGAAAGACTGTGCCGCTAAGCTTCAATCACACACTTGAAATTTACGTGGCTTTTTGGATTACTGGTACTTTGGGGATTTTGTAGCAACCTTTCTGGACTCAAAACCTGCACAGGTCCTATTATTCCTCTGTGAGTTCTATCTAGAAAATGTGCTTTGTCTTCATCAAGGTCATGTTTCGCTTGAGTAATTTGGGACTGCTTCATCATTAAGGCCAACTGGGAAATAAACTGATGCTTCTTCATGTAGTGTTTGCTTACACCACTCTTCATTGGACATTTTCCCATAACATGTAATCAGGCACCTGTAAAACAGAATGTTTGTTATTCATTCATAGAATCATAATGGTTGGAAAAGACCTTCAAGACCAAGTCCAACTGCAAGTCCTTCAACACCCTGCCTGCTAAACCACGTCCCTAAGTGCCTCATCTACAGGTTTCTCGAACGCTGCTTCCCCACTTTCACCAATGCACTATGAGATCTCTGCTTTAGTATATGCAGCAAAAAATCGGATGTATGTAAAGAGTGGAGCAGTGAACAGCTTACAACAAACTCCTTCCATAGATAAAAATGAAACAGGACATCTCTCACTAGCTGTCAATGCCAAGTACCTTTTGCAGCAAAACAATATTTACTTTGTGCAAAATTTTCTCTAATTTGGGGTGTGAATGGGAGGAAGCTGCAGGCGGGTTTTAACAGGAGACAAGCAGTGCCCGTGCCTTGAAATTCCTCATGGTAGAGGCTTTCCTCCTCTCAGCACATCCAGATACTTATCCAAAAGAAGAAGTGGTGCTGCTGCTAGGACTGTCACCTGCAGTTGCTGGTTCACATCCCACGGCAATAGAGGGATGCTGCACGGGACAGTGGGAGCCTCGGGCCATCTCCCAGCTCCAAGGATACATTTAGTAGCAAGTCTCTGCAGTAAGTACCTAGCATCCACCACCGCCCCTTATTTATTTATTTAACTGGAATACGGCCTAGATTTTTCAACATTATTGGTTTCAAACATGCAAGGAAAGATAATTATTACAATCTGTTTTGTAAGAAGTCTCTGCCGTTAGAGCTGCCTATTTCTTTCCACCACCTCTTTCTTATTCTGAACAGAAAGCATGACTAAACGGATCTTCTAATTTACTGCAATATTATGTTTCAGTGTTCAAGTCTCCAAGTGATTTCAGTGACTTCCCTTGTTTTAAAGATCTGACATACTACGACTTCTTAGGACTTTTTTTTGTCACATCTGTTCCGTGAGGCAGGCTGCCTACTTTGAGAGCCATTTCAGTGTTTACATCTGAAGAAACACACCCAAAAACCGTAAGACTTACTTTCATCATCTGAATCGAATCCAAAGAGCGTCTGACATTTCTTTTGTGCAAGGTGAGCCTCAAGTGCTTCCGAGTTACAGTAGATGGTCAAGCAGTTGCCACATCTAAATCTTTCTGTTGATTTGCTACTAAATTTATCTTGCTCAGAATGAGCATCTACTTTATCAGTCAACATTTTTCTACGTTTTGGCATGCTAATGTAACGTTCGTCAAGATAACTTGGAGGCAACGGTCTAACGTAAGGTTTTGTTAAGATGACACCATAAGAAGTATTCTCTGTTGTCTGATTTGGTTTAGAAGGTAACTGCGAGGCAGCAGCAGTGTTCTGGGGTGTATCGTGGCAATTCTGTAAAACTGGTAACACTGACCCGTTTTCTGTCCTTTTTTCATCTGCCACTCTGTCTAAAATTGTATCTGATGACTTTGATGATGTTTGCTCCAGGTTATTGTGCCCATTGACTAGTTGGTCACTAACAACACTACAGTTTTCAGAATTTGGCTGTAACATGGGTGTCTTTTGGTCTATTGAGTTTAAAACTGTAGCACTACTTTCAGATGAGCTTTCATTTCCATTCTGCATTACGTTATTTGCTTTCTTCTCAACACTTTGAATGTAAGTCTTTGGTTCTGTAGAATCCTTCCTTGACTTCCAAGTTGGAATTGGTAAGTCTACAGTTTCTGTTTCATTAATAGATGCATCACTTTCTTGGTAGCTGCAAAGAGGTTCTGAAGAATCATCTGAAGAATCTTTTTCACTTGCATCTTCTGAACCTTCTGGTGTTTTATTTAAGTAATGCTGAGCCTCATGTTCATATAGTAAAGGGAGCTCTTCAAATAGCTCACAACACTCTGCAAAATTGCACTGAGCTTTCAAAACACTATGACTTTTTGTATGTTCTGCCAGCTCGGTTGACAGCTTAAATCTCTGATTACAATTAAAGTGTAAACAAAAGTAAACATTTGGATACACATGTCTCTTCAGGTGGTCTATAAAGTGTTGGGAATCAGCAAATTTTCTCTGACAGAAGCGACATTTTCCTTTATTCCATTTCATTATGTGTTGCTGCACCTTCAAATCAGTTGGATGAGCTTTTCTTGCATGTTTATTGAGGAATCGTATCTTTTTAAACACCCTAGCACAACCATTAGCAGGGCACTTGAAGCTTCCTTCTTCATCCATGGCGTCCACGTCTTTCTGAGGGCACAGAGCTCCATTCACTTTATGGAGGACTGCTGACTCTTTACTGGAGCTTTCATCATCTTCTGGCAAGCCTTCTATATTTAAAGCATCAGGGATGTTATTCAAACAGCTATCACAACTGCTGTTCTCAGTAGCATCATCCTGGTCACTTGCATGATTTTCTACCACGTCAAGTATCTGTTTGGTATTCTCTTCTTCCATATTAGCACTTGGAACTATTGCAACCACTGGTTCTTTATCTTTAGAACCATCAGAATTCCCATTTTCAAGAGAGATTGAAACCTCAGAACATTCTTGTTCATTAAGGACTGGAGTCTCCTGTCTGTCCTCACGAACTGCAGCAAGATGTTGTCTTTCTATCTTCCTGACATGATTTTTTAAGTGCTTCAGCATAAGTCCTCGTTGTCTGAACTTTCTGCTGCAAAGTACACAGGAAAAACTGCCCTTTTTCTGGTGAGCTTGTGCATGTCTCACAATGTGACCACCAAGAAATTCCTTGTTGCATATCACACAGCGGTGCTTCGGTACTGTATGATCTAACACTTTAGATGCTTCAAGAGCTGCATGGTGGTTCTTGGCATTACCTTTGGATTGGGATTCAGACAAGTCTTCAGTGTCAAGCTCCCCATTACTTACATCTGCTAAGCCAACATTTTCTTCACTTAAAGCCCTATACTCTGTCATCTTCTCCGTATTTGTAGTAGAGTTTTCCAGTGTACTTTCACTTAAGCCAACAAAGGCTTTATCCCCCAATAATGCTAAACAATTCTGCTTGATCATCAAGAAATTCCAAAATTCAGGATCAAAAAACAGACCTTTTTTTAAAATGGGAAGCAATTCAAAACGTACACGGTTTTGAACTGAACTAGTGCACTCATTGTATTCTTCATCTGCACATTTATACAAATGTTCAACAGTGTAGTATGATTCCAGAGTGCGCTCAAGAAAAAAGATTGAAAGTGCACAAATTCTGAGGATCTCCAGGTCATTTGGCAAAAAATGAGCTATCGTTTTATATATGAGACTTTTCATGTGGGGATCTTCACGGAGGTCCAGTTGTAGGGCACATCCACATATCTCAACACATATCTGAAGACCATCTTCACCAACCTGCAAAAAGGAAAGTACAGTACATAGTATTGCATAATGTTATTTTCCTTATGGGCTGGCAGCAGTCTAAAGCTTGAAAAAACAAAAACAAACAGCGACAACAAAACACGGACTTGGGAAAAAAACTAAGCTAGTATAAACAGAGCTCAAATGTCAACTTTCCATATATCTATATTCAACTCCTTGCAAAATACCCAGAAGATCAGAAAATTTCCTGCTAGTTCCAGAAAAAACTCTAAAAAGTAAACCTCCAAGTCCAAAAATATGCATTTAAAAATATATATATGTTAAACAAGGCCATAAAATACAGATAAGGAAACGCCCATGAATAACATTTGGTTGCACTGAAGATTTTGCAGCTGTCCAAGCTAGATCTTTAACATGGGCAGTTCTGTAAAGACAGTTTTTTGGGGGATGTCTTAGTGCTTATAAAACATAAAAACAGCAGCTATTATCATCTGATCCAGCATTATCTTCTGTCTGCCTCCCAATTAACTACACTGCTTCACTATAATTGGACATTTACCCTAAATTTTGTCCCTGCGCCATTTCACTTCACTTGCATTACAGAAAAATGCAAACTATAAATAGTGCCCTGAATTGTCAGTGACAACCATTAAGGAAAACATAACTCTAAATTTTGTCCCTGCGCTATTTCACTTCACTTGCATTACCGAAAAATGCAAACTATAAATAGTGCCTGAATTGACAGTGACAACCATTAAGGAAAACATAACAACCCACAGCCAGGCACTCTACAACTCCAGACTCCTCCACACTGACAATTTATCCTTCTGATGAGCAGAATTCCCTCTCTACAGCTTAGGCTGTGGGCTCAAACATGAAACTTATGATTGGGAGGAATGGCCATACTGCCCCATCTATCACTGCTTAAAGCACAGTAAGTCACAGGAAAGTTTAGCAATGATTAATACCATTTCAGTGCACTTCAGTATATGTTAACAAATACACATACACATAAAATGTCATACTTAACAGCCTGTTAAAGACTACCAGACACAAGTACAAAAGCTATACTTTCCTAAGACGAATACATCAAATTATTCATGTCACCAGACTATTTTAGAGTACATACTGAGACTAAAGTCTTGAATAGCAGCAATTGATGCATTTACTTATAAATGTACAGTAGCACCTTTGATGAAATAGATTTATCAATTCACACAGAAGTCAGTACATTCCTCAAACACTTAGGGCATAGAATATGAAGAGCTCTGTTCATTCAGGTTAATGATGAAAAGCAACATTTGCTTTGAAACAACTAACACTCCTGCTGTGTGAAGCACTGCACATTATACTGATTTTCTGCAATTAGTATAGGATTGTAGCATGTTAATCATGCATAATTCTTCAAAGCAAAATTGTGTCTTTCGGTTTAGTTTAACTCTTGCTTCCTTTACGTTATAATGTGCACTTTTAAAAAGAAAGGCTAAAAATAACAGTTAACTTCCACATTTACTTCATGTATTAATTATCAATTTCCCCATTTATTTATATGGAATGACATACTCAAACACACTGCAACAGACAGAAAGAAAAACTTATGCACAACAGAGCAGGACTGTCCTAACATGGAAGCTCATTCCGGAACATGACAAAACCTCAACTTGGCTATATTGTATGGCGGCTGTTTTTTGTGGAGAGTAAACAGGGGACAGAGAAGGACACACAAGCTGAGGCTGAGCTGATCATTTCTCTTCAGTTTTACTGGTAATAAAAAGAAGGCAAAAACAAAAAAACTTACTTCGTCCTTAATGACTTTCATGAAAGGGAAAATTACTCTGATATTTGTGGCAATTCTTAAAAGCTGGTAGCATTGGTCAACGAATACTTGTTTTGATGGGTTAGATTTAAGCTGCAATTTACTCCAAATGAAGATCAGGTCCCTATAAGGGCAGAACAAAATATTTTGATTAGACTGAGTTTTAAAGAATTCTGTTGCTAAGCAAGATGCATTCCTACAAACAATTATTTGTATTTTCTATGACTAAAATCTTATTTTTGTTGTGTGATTAATATCAGTCTAATTAACACCACAACTGTACCCAGTGTGCACAATGGAAAATGTAACATAAGCATTCAGGGTATCTCCTATCACTAAACCAATTAAATATGCAACTGAATATTAATGACTTAGTTTAGTATCAAAGAATGGCATAACAAAAACAAATGCTGGAGTATCTAGTCCTTAACACCATGTGCAATAAATGGAAGGCTGAAGAAGTGCTGTGTGCACTCCAGAAGCGTTTGGGGATTAAATTACTTTTACTGCCATGATGAAGAAAGTTCTCCAAATGTGGAAAACCAAAGCACAGTAGAAAACTAATCTCTGATATGTTCTATCAATAGGAAATATTGATGTCTTCTAGTTACATATCCTGTTATAATTGACCTTTCTAGTCCCAGCAGTTATCAGGAACTGTTAGCCCCTACTGCTAAATATTCACACAGCTCTATGACCAAATAACATTTCTGAGCAATGGAAGGAAGAGACAAATGGATTGCTAGTCCCTTGCAGAAGATCATGTGTATATTTTAGTGTATATTTAGTCTATAAAATATTGCTGATGGAAGTCTAAAGCCTGTAAAAAAGTTATTTGCTTTTTTAACTCAGAGGTGCTGCAAGGTAACTGGACCTTTATTTAAAGCAATATCAAGACTTGACACCACATGAAAAAGACTTTACTCAGAAGAACATATGGTCAGGATCCAGCTGAAGTCCCATTGAAACAAAGCAAGGCAAATGGGCCTGTCCAGGCTTTGATCTGCAGGTACGCCCTTTTTCTTCCAAAAGTCTCCTCCCTCAGAAAACCCAACCCAGTTACTGACAAAAGTATTTGGCTAATCTTCCAAATCTCTAGTCTGTGCCACGTACAAATCAGACAAACTTCTTGTGACTAAGCTTGTCTAGTCATGTCAATGTCTGCATGAGGAGAAGTGATAACACTGACTATGAACACAAAAACAACTTCACTTTTAAATTCAGGACAGCTCTATAAGGACTAACTGAGCCAAACATGAGATCTTGATTTTTTTTTTCTTTTACTCAGAATCCAAGACAACAGAAATCAGGAGGAAGTCTCAGGCTTGCATAGGCAGATGGTCAAGACGGGAAGCTCTGCGGTCACTCCACACACAGCACATTAGTCCTAGAGGCTTTCTAGAGATGCAAGCTATTCACCTCTCTTACCAGGCTGGCAATCTTTTGAAGGCTCTTTGCAAACTTCACATGGAAGTTTGAAACTAACTAGTATCTCCGTGTACCCATTCATTTAACCTTCATAAAAATTCCATACAATTTTCAGCCTAAATTATGGAAGAATATTTTTTGCTTAGGATGCTGCTAAATAATACAGCTCATTTGGACTCATTGCATGCTGCTGTGAGCAGAATAGTAGATAATGCTCTTTTATTCTGCTTTGTCTCACAGTGCTTCAGAGAAACTGTTTCAATACTAATCCCAGAGAAAACTCAAATTACTTTCCTGATGGACTGGCAGCTCAGAGGCTTACCACGTGTTCAGACAAGTGCAAAGGCTGGCACAAGAAAATTGCCGAAAAGAGAATGGATAAAACTGAAAGCAGAAGGAACAGCTCCATAGCTGGAAGAGCAAACCATTAAACCAGTTTAACCACTATTCACTGGACCCTAAAGTGAAACATTTTGGTCTTATTTCCTCCATATAGCTACTGAGGATCTTCCTTCTCAGGAAGTTTTCTGACTGAGAATCATGAGGGGGTTAAAGCATCCTCAAAGATCAGACCTCATTTTAAAAATTTAAATGCTTCAGATTAAAGTTGGTACTTTAATTACCTTTGAAGTCATTTGCATTTGGGACATCTGTGTATCACTGAGCACAAAAAAGATAATATTGGGGATGATACAGGCAGGGGTAGCTTTCTGTTTGCTACTGCAGAATGATATTGGACTGTGACGTTCCATGACTTTCTCCCAACTTCTTTGATAAAATACCTGAGTTCATACTGAGCCTTGTGCTTCAACTATTATTGACAGTGCAAAGGCAATTTAGATTGGCAACAATAGAGAATTGGGCACTTCTTTACCACAGGGAACCAGATATTTCAGCCTGTTAACTGCCCTCCCCTCATTCCAGAACTACCACAACATTGTGTGCTTCCAACAGCAAAATATGAAGATAGTTCTACCTTACCTTAGATCTAAAGCTTTGCCAATTATTGCAAAAGAAAAGCCTGATCTTCCTTAAATATAGACGGCAGACTACCAGAACGTACACAGTGAATAATTACCCAGTTCAGTAACACTACCTAAAAAAAGACTAATCAAACTTGTGGGAAGAAAAAAAAAATCTTGATTTATTGATGTAAGAACTACTTGAAAACAGCTAAACTGTGTTTAAAGACTGCCTGTCATAGAAGGCAAACTGTTCTGCCAAGTCTGTTCCATAAAATTTTTTCTCGTCTTTCTGAAGGGAGATGACCAATACACAAGTCATGATTCCAAAGCCATTCGTAGTTTCCACCTCACAGACTGATTTCCTATCAATACCTAGCACACACATTTTTATCTACACACAGTATTTTTAGCAAGACTGAACTACTTTTTTGTGAGGCAGATATAAAGGAGTTTTCACTTCAGAAAAACAATAATGATTTGTATAATTTGAATCTAGGATTTATTCTTCACACCAACGAAAATAGCTTTGGAACAGAGCTGCTCAAAGTCCATCTTTTGCTAAGATAACATGAGAAGCTGTGGTTCCAGTTCAAAGATCTACTTGATACAGGCTACTTCACATGAACAGATAACAACTATCTACTATTTGCAGCTTCTTAATCTGTTATCTTGGTTGGTAGTTTAGCAATTCTCTGCTGGGTTTGTAAGATCCTCCACGCTCAGCGAGGCCACTTGACTTTTGCTATAGTACCTAGCAATGAATAAAACAAACAAAACGAAACCTCCTACACTTATCCCAGGGGCGTGGGAGGGGAACCTCAAGTTTTGTATTCTGAACAGAGGTAAAGATTAAAAAAGCTTCTGCAGTGAAGAGATAACAGGGCAACAAGTATGTCAGAAATTTCACTGTCTATTCTGCCATAATATTAGGACAGACGTCTTGTTTTTAATAACAGATCTTAGAATGGATAAACACAGAACTTAACCCCGCTGCTGACTAGCTGATAAACGCTAACAAGCACGCTACTACTGCAGAAGGTATAAAACACAAATTTAAAATGCTTTCCTTAAAAGGCTGAGACCCTGGAGCAGAAAGAATTACCATATAATTGATTTTTCTGGGCTAGATAAGAATTCAAGGGATACAGCCTTTGGGGAGGAATCAGCAGAGCTTCACTCCAGTCTGAAATTGGTCCTTGGCACTCAGACAACTGTGTACCTTTTTAGTTGTGCTTCTTCACTTTGCTCATTATGGGCAGAGTCATGCCTACCTTTTTCTGGGCCGTGTATGGGTGAAAAATGCTACAGAATGACTAGAGTATTGTCAATACGTGTATTATAAGTTTCATAGCCAGATTTCCAATGGTTTTCATTCAACAAAAACTCAATTGCACACCTAAAAGCTTTTTTTTTATTAGAGGGAACATAACATTGTCTGACTTTCATTATTAATTAAAAAAGAGGGATGATATCTTACTTTTCAGTTTCCTGAAACTGGGGAACAGGAAAATGCTTCCTAGATTCCATACTGAAGTTAGTTTCATAATGAAGCAGATCAGTAATTTATGTTCAAAAAATGCCCACCTTTTCCAACTGACCCTTTTTGCCTCAACTACATAATTAAGCACCCTTTATCCAGGCAGGTATACGTTATTTTAGGTACAGAAGTTATTTCCAAGGAAGCTAATCCTTCTGTTGACATCTTTCAGATCTCAGAATGAAGTTTACTCTGAGAAGTCTTTACAGAAAACATATTCACCGTAAAATTGTCCAACTTGCCATTTGATTTTGTGTGTTCAGAGTCTCATTTAAATCTTTTCTAAAGAGATACCATTTACTTGGTGGCTCTGTTTATGAAGTAATAATTTGCATCATTCGTAGCATATATTCATAAACGAACTCTCTTTCTACACATATTTCTAACATGCAACAGCTTGGTGGTTATGGTTATGTGAGTACAGTCAGCTTGCTGGACAGCAAATACCTGCAACGCCTAAGAGTCTACAGGCAGCTTACTGTTGTTACACTTTGCTATTAATAATTACTGTATTTATAGGCATTTACAGCCTAATGTATCTCAAGACTCAGTCTTCTCTTACTTCAAAACAGTTAAGCTCTATGTAGGCTGCCACTACGGGATTGTTTAAAAAGGCAATAGGTATAACAGACATATTAGGAATGTTTAAATGTGATGTTAGAATGTTTTTATCTGGTATGTCAAAGTTCAGCTACATCTCAAAGTTAAATTACTATCTTCTTGGTAGTATGCACTGATTATCTGCTAAGCTGCACGACCATAAATAAAGTATTTACCATATACAATACATGTCCCCATTTTGGAGCTGTGGGACTAGGAACGATTCACATAGCTGTAAGGCTAAGGTAGTCTTCCCTTCTTTTTCAGTGTTGCAGATGATCTCAATTCCACTCTTGCAATCAGTCCTCAACAAGTGCTATACAATTAAAATAAAATCAACTTAGATAAATTTGCTAACATGAAATAAAAACCTATCAGACATTGCTATATTAAAAAAAAGCCACTGAAAATTTTTTAGATTGCCAATAACAATTTCCTTTGATACTTTTGTGTATGTCTATGAATAGTTTCATAGATCAAGAGCTCTTTGATATATTTAGAGTAATGACAATCAGCATAGTTGTCTGAGATAAACACTAAGCACACACGAAAGCCTTTTTTATTTTATTTTTATTTTTTATAAATGTAACCTGTTTTTAAAACAAAGTTAAGAATAGCACTGTTTTGCAGTAAGTGCTATCAGTAGTAAAACAAGGATCACATTTAGCAATGGGGGCCATTTTACATACTGGGGCAAAATTAAAGCATCTTTGCTCAAAGCTAATGAGACTAAATAACATACAAAACACTAGAAGGTTGTGTTTAAGTGCTTTCGCTAGCCCCATCATAAAATAATCGTCATTACATTAAAGTTACAAAGTATCAGTGACTGAAGTTACATAGGGAATATACCCACAGGCAAACATGACCAAAAAATGCATTTAGGTCAACAAGATTTGTACTTACTTACATTTATCTTTCCAAAGCTTAAGTGATCACTGAGTTAAGCAATACCAGTCTAGTTTCCTGATTTAATGACACTTGGTGCTACAAAAATAGAGTTCCATATGCTCTCCTTGACAATTTGCATACAGTAAGTATAAAAAAAATATACTAACAAACAATACCTCCTGGAATAGCTGATCTTCTAATGGTGACATATAAAGACAGGTGAAAAGAGCTTGATGGAAATACAGATCTTTACTGATATCTGGATGATTTATGCAAGATTTGATAAGAGCCATTGCCTCAGGGATGCGTTCACAGGCAATAAGGTATCTGGCACGTAGTTCAAAGAACAGTGGATTTTCAGAGCTTAAATATTTGTTAACTGCACAGAAAAGAAAAATTTAAAGGCAATTAGAATATGAAGTCCAAACAACAAATATACTTAAATTGAATGTTGTTTTTATAGTTCAATGTCAAATATATATATCTATAAAACAAAAGGCTCTGCCAAAAACGCTATCAAATATTTAAGTAAATACTGTCCATCAAGAATTTGTCTATTTGGAAACAGAAATTGTTATTTTTCTTATACCAGTGATCTAACTAATTCAGTATGTTTTTTTTTCTAACAGATTAACACATGACGCTGCAAGGAATTAGTAAAATAAATACTATTTAGAAACAAATATGAAAAATCTCCATAAATTAACTCCCATCCTTTCTCAGCACTGGAGTCTGGCTGATTGTCTGAAGCACAGGATCTACATCATTTTCAACACTATAACTACAAATGTTTAGAACAGCCTTACCCACTAGGAGGGAGGCATTTGGAGTTGGAAGTTAACTACAAATCACAAGTTGTTGTTTTAAGTAGCCGAATACCTTGATTTGGTTGGGTAAATGGAAAGGCCGACTTTCCCCCAGTCGTCCAAAATTCTACTGTACAAACTTCTAAATCTTAAATGCCTAAATACCTTTAAACTCTAGCCCCTGGTTTTGGAACTCTGCTTTTCAAATCTAGCAGTTCTAATAGAGCTAGAAATTTAATGAGATTGTTGCAATTGAAAGATAGCTATTCATAAAAGACTTAGCAATATTTTTGCAATTAAGAAATAAATATGCAGATGATGACACACTAGTTCCCTAATTGAAAAAAGATACAGATTCTGTCTGTAGTATCTGTAATATCACTTGATGCTACTAAATTTCAGGAAGATGGTTATATTTTGAAAGTTATTTGCATCCTATTAAGTAAATGCACACACTAAGTTGTTAAGACTAATAGGCATTGGACAATATGGCCTTCTGCATATAATAGCTACTTTAAAACAGAAATAGTCCAAAAAGAATGTTTTAGTGTGTACAATGCAGTATTGCTTACTATTTTGTATGCAAAAAAGATTTTGATTTAATGTCAGTGAAGGCTAATAGCAAGCCTATGAGGTTTATATGTTAAAAACAACCTGTATAAAGTAATAGGCAACTGAAAGCAACAATTAAAAGAATTCAAATAAAATGGTGTGACTGAAATCCACCATCTGAACAGGCAAGAGTAAAATTTCCTCTAAAATAAAAAGATTGTGTACTTTACTTTTGATTTAAAAACATACTTTTTTAAAAAAAGAAAGGAACCATGGTTGCAAGATGCTCCCTATTCAAACAAGATTTGCCTCTGTGCTGTCTGTATTTTATGAAAGCTAACAATATGATGTGCAAGTGAGAATAGGGAATATTAATCCAGGTGATATTAGATTTTAGATTTTTTAATGGATGTACCACTGACTCCCCTGTAAGAGAAGTACTTTTTTCTCCACTACCTACTAGCACTTCCAAGTATGAACACAGTAAAGGCAAAAAGAAAAGCTAGCATCTAACAGTGACCATTTAAATGCCAGAAAAAGTAATCATAGAGAACAGAGCTCAAAAGCAAAGAAAGTCTCCCACTATTTTTTTTCTGAATTAACATACTTAGAATCATAAACGCAATCATCAGTTCTGTAAGCAATCTCTATCCAACAGGTTATAGGATATTATCATTAAATTAGATCAGGCATATTTAGCTCTTGTACCTGCTGCTGTTTAAAAGCAGTACATGTAACAAGTGACTTTAACATCCTTTTCCATTAAAGGAAGGGGGGAAAGGCTGCAGTTCAGGATGCTGCTCGATTTGGTGACTTGGCACTCCCATTTTCTGGGAGGGATAAGTTCTTAGGTCAGCACATCCTGTCTCCTCAAACGAGAGCTCCACTTCTGACAGCGTGACTTTCCAGGGAATGGGTCTCCTGCACACCGCAAAAAATGCTTTTAAACAGACCTTGAGTTTCAGCTAAGCAACTTGCTGGATTCTACTCCTCCTACAGCGCAGCACGCTGTTATTCCAAAGAGGCATTTAGCTGTTCTGACCCTGCAAAGCAGAAGGGAATTTCCAGCTCTAGCAGCACTTAGAGAAACCTGCCGCACACTAAAAGCGCCTTTGGGGAAACAGCACCTACCCTAGTCCCAACGGAGTGTGCAGTGCTTCGCACTGCAAATAGTAATAGATATCAAGATCTATAGCCAGGTACACTGCTAACATATCAAGCATCAACTCAGAAACTAACTTGCTTACATTTTTTACCTCTGTCTACTACACTCTCTCCCTGAAGTTCACAGTATGCATGTATTCTCCCTAAGCTAATAAACGCTTATTGTTCCTGTTTCAATAAAATGAAGGGTCACATCAAACCCTGCTGTTTTCCTTTAAAACCAGAGACTACTTTCCAGCCTTTTCTAAACATGCTACAATTCACATAAGGACCAGTACAAGCTTTGTCTTGACCTTGCCTTCTCTGCGTAACTAATGAATTTAAGATAGGATAATGTAGTTCCTATGGCACATATCACCAATCTGACTTGCACAAGTAGTGATTGGTGATTTAACTTTCTTCATTTAAAACTGAATCTCTGAGAGAACAATATGGCCAAGTTTTAAAATATATACCAAACACTGTCAGCCATAGAGCAGCACAGAATATTTGCTCGAGTCAAATTTCACAAGAATCAGAGGTTAGAGGAAGAGACAAGAAAAAACTTTCAAAAATATCATCTAAAATAAAATGTTTATCATCACAGATGAGATATGACAAAGGTGTGTGAAAATCTGAAGATAAAAGGTGGAAAAATACCTCAGCAGAGGGGAAGGAGATGTAGCCTGCAACAAAAGGAAACAGAATGATCATCTAATGACTACAGGTAGTCTCACTGTTGCTCTGACAGGACAGAACTAGGTAAAGAGCCTCAAACTGTTACCCACAGTATAGAGGCTTCATGATGATTAAGGAAGTTAAGGCACAAAGAAAAGCAGCAAACTTAATTCTTTCTGGGGACATGGAGACTGAACAGTTAGTTGTATTTACTACTGAATCATAAGTACTACTTTTTTTCTTTCCCAGGATGTCCTCTCTTTAGTCTTTTTGGACTACAGCTCACCTCCCTTTTGAAACCTAGCTTTAGATCATAGCTACCAAAACTTTTATTAGATTTAATAGTATGATGAAGAGCAAGAAAAGGATGATCTTCATTTTCATTCACAATTCAATACATACTTGACTCAAGTTTGTTACATCTGTACAACACACAGGCAAACTACGTTGTTTGAGTGCTTACCCCTCAAGAGGGCCAAAACAGGCGACAGGGATTCCCCCTTGCTCAGTTTAATAAACCACATTCTGTTGTTAAGGAGGTAGCTCATTGAGCTTTTCTGACCTGACGGGCCTCTTCCTCCCACTATAGCATGAATACATTGTCATAAAAGCACAGTAATGAATTTGAATTATGCATTATACAATACTGACTAGAGAACGCAAAAGTATTTTTTCACTATCAAGTGGAGATAAATTTAAAGAAGTCCTCTGAGAATATTACTAACCTCTCTATATGAATCATGAGCAAAGAATTATTTACTACAGTTTGGATATATTCCGTTTTTACTCTTATGAAAAAAATCGGGTTAGCTTTATTACCATGCATTGTTAAAAATGATGTTTTACTCTGAAGCCCTAAACAAAAAATTAAGGGAGCTCTTTCTCTTAGCTGCAAACATAGGAACTACACATACTATAGTAATAGTAATAATAAATGTCAGGTGCAGTCACAGGCCTCATTCTAAACAGCATAGGAAAATAAAAGACCCAAAGGCAAATATTTACAATTTAAGAAACAAGAAATAAATGAGTTAAGTACCATGAGACAACCTCTACACCACAACTTCCACTCACCATACTACTACGACAGACTAACACCAGAGTCAAGTTTTTCTGTGTACTTTTTCATGCAGTAAATACCTTGACAAGGTAATTCTTTTTATTCTTTTTATTTGTTTGTTTGTTTTTACAAGTAATAGCTCAATAGACTCCTGTACCATAGTAATCTTATTGCTATTCTATAAGAGTATATTTCAGCTGTTAGGAACAAAAAAAATCCTTTTTAAAAAAAGGGATTAGTACTATAGGGAAAAAAGTTAATATGTGATGTAATATGACAATACCTGACACCAATACATGGAGAACACATTATTTTAAAGGCATTTTTCAGTACTCTTAAAAAAAAAATAAGGTAAATGAAATACCTAATTCCTGTGATACAGGCTTTGCTTTAAGAATTGCTTGTAATACAGGATCTTCCCATGGTCCACCATCTCGGATAATTCGAGTTACTAGTTCCAGGTTCATATTTCTGTATTTATTTAGAAGATTCTGACATTCCTGTGAGCAAAAGTAAGTATAGTAAGTTAGAAAACAGAGATGTCTAGCAATAACATTAGCCCACACAAGAGACTTTAAACAAGAAAATCCACGTGTATCTGTTTCAACAATTCAACATAAGTAGTCTTATGTTTATTAGAACTATACAAAGTCCTAAAGCAACAATTTACATTCTCTAAAAACAGTAACATGCAAGCGTGGAAGTCAGAATACAAGCGTCCTCTATTGGCAATATGCCATCTATATGATACAAAGCAAACTCCTTGATTATTTGCATACTCTGTCTGTGAGAGAACTTTACCTGCTGCTAGTCTGCACCAATTTATGCACACTGACATTTAGAATTGGGATCCAGTGACTGAGTCTAAATCCTAGTGGGTTTTAAGGGGAGGGTATGTGAGTCACCAGGCCTCCGGCACACACTTTTATCCCAAGCTGTACATAAAGTAAATCATGCATATCCTTCAGTGCTTGCATGCTTGCTTCAAATAATCTGGAAGCAGTTTTTATAGATACAGATATGACAAGATTTCTTTCATTGTTATTTGCTGGCAAGAGAGTCAACATTAATGTTAATCAACAACAGAATTCTAATGAGCACAAAAAAGTGGACTTTTTTAAATTCTAAATTTAATTTTCTTCTCTTTTATTATTGTTTCTTTTGTTCTTTCCAAAAGGACTGAAAGACAGCTTCTTATCACATATAGCTTCAGATATCTTTTTTCCTGCAAATTTTTACCTTCAATTTCTTCTCATCATCTTCTATTATATTCAGATGAGTACATTTGATAATAAAGGCTGGTTAAGTAAGTGAAACAATGCTTTCCACGACCACTTAGTTTATAAAACAGATTCAGAAATTCCTCATTAGGAAAATCATGTAAAGACATACTTAAAGGGCAAGGCAGTTGAGTTATACTACTAAAGCAGGGAAGCAAGTATTGTACATTGCATTTTTTTCTCAAGTTCTCTGTCTGGATCACAGTCTGAAGAGCACTTGAGACTGCCAAGACAGCCCGTAACACTTATGCAAGCTACCATACCTATTCCTAGGGCTGCTGAAGTCACTTCTTGTCCACATTCTTCAGCTAATTCTAATTCTAAGCATATAATTGCTGCTCTTTTGATAATTAAGATCAGTGGTGCTGACGTATAAACTGGGAACAACTGTGGCAAGCAGGTATCAACATCGAAACAGGGATAGCTATTTTTCAAACTGCTGTTTCATTATCAGCATTAATAGAAGAAGCAACCCTACTTTTCCTTCTCTTTTTAAACTACAAAGCTTTCTTTCTCATGCTGGCACAAGTATTCAAGTATTTGTGTTTCCATGCAGGGAACTCAATTCAGAAAACTGTCCCACATTGGAAAGCTTATCTGGCAGAAAAAGGTTACATTTCTAAAGCCAGGATCAGTACTCTGAAAGAGTTGAACTTAACCACACAAAAACTTGTCCTAATCTAGGCAAGAGTAGAGAAGTTTTAAATGCTAGCCTATGCTCATCTGAGGAGTTCACTGAAATTTAGCTTTAAATTTAAGTTTACAGTTTAAAACAGCAGAGGAAACTTCAGGTTTCATGCTGTGAACTCATATAAGGCACTGAATGACACTTATCTCTGATTAGATTAAAAAAACCAACAGAAAGCTTCCCATTGCTAGATGGAAAATACATCTTTAATAGAAAGGCTGGCATTACAAAAAGTGAAATGCATTTTACTTAGTCCAGACAGATTCAACTATAAACAACAGTGAATGCAAGAGTAAATGGCTTCAAATACCCTATATACTTTTGTACACAAGTAAAGCAACTATCTTCTTTC